CTATTTGTCTGACTGATTGTGGATCTAATGAAAATTTCATGCAAAACAACTTTCAAGTTATCTCACTCTTTAATGTTATAAAAAGTTTGGCTTTCCTGCTCTCCAGTCTAGTTGACTGAAGCTTTAATTTTAGGGTCCCGAAAATTCATTTTGTCAGTATAGGCCGGTCATGTGCATGACATCGTTCTGAGCTTTCTGCCATTATCAACTTAGAACATCTGCTTTTTTACTTTTGTGGTTTCTCTCTAATTCAATGGGGCCTTGTGATGTAACATGTCCTTAGGCATCTAATGATGCATGCTCTGCTGGATTTTGCTTTGTTTCGGATTATGATCTGTTAGTTGTTCTGAATTATACAGTTTTCTGTTTTGTTTTTCTTTTTTCATCTCACAGGAAAGACTAAGAGGGGGGAGTTGAGCATTTTCCCAAGATCATTTATAGTGTTATCACATTGTCTTCATATGATGCCAAGGCAGAAACCTGGTCCTGCTTCTGATAGTGCTAATGTGAAGGTGAGCAATGATTGTATCTTGACTTTGTTTATGCTACCTGGGCTCTTTTCATGACACCACTACGTACACTTCTGCAGAAAACTGATCGATGGGTCCCAGGAAGTCCCAGGAATCCTGAAGCATACATTTTAAAAGACCAGGTATCGATTGAAAAAAATACTTTTACAATTATTTTTTTGCTAAGCTTTGAACACACTAAGATTAAAGTTTTGGGTCGGAATTACTAATGATTTATATCTATCTAAAACATGCGTTCTTGTTTTTGCATTATTGATTTCTGTTTATAAATCTTATGCTACAGCAACTTGATGTATTTTTTTTATAAACTCAGGAAAGTATATTTCTGGTCCTTTTGGTATTGACCTTTGTTTTGAAAGTTTAATCATGTAGACATACTTAGTTTTTTGAAGTGTTGGAGATAACTACCAAATCAACTTTGTACCCCCATTTCTCTATTAGGTTTTTGTTTGTTGACTCTATTGTCTTGTTCCACCCTTTTTCCTCGTTTCTGTTTTGTTTGATCAATTTTTGAGTTGGTTATGACTATTTTTTTTTTAAATGTAAATAGTCATATGACGTTATTCCCTTTATATTCTCAAGATTTTATGTGGTTCATTTTCTATTGTTTTACATGTTAATTGTCTTTCTTGGTAGGAAACTCGCTATCGTCAACGTTATTTGGATCTAATATTGACTAATGAGGTTCGACAAATATTCAAGACCAGATTTAAGGTCATTCAATATATTAGAAGGTTCCTGGACAATCTGGACTTCTTAGAGGTTAGTCTTTCTTCAGGTTGCCTTTTGTATTCACTGCGTCTCCATGTTCGTTTGTTGGTAGTCTCTTACGTTTTGGTGTCTTTTCTATCTGTCATTTGCTTCTACATTCTCCCACCCTCAGGTCGAAACTCCTATGATGAATATGATTGCTGGTGGAGCGGCTGCCCGTCCTTTTGTGACTTATCACAATGAACTTGACATGAAGCTTTTCATGCGCATTGCACCTGAACTCTATCTTAAACAGCTAGTTGTTGGTGGCCTGGATCGTGTTTATGAGATTGGAAAACAATTTAGAAATGAGGGCATTGATTTGACTCATAATCCTGAGTTCACTACCTGTGAATTCTATATGGCTTATGCAGACTACAATGACTTGATGACACTGACTGAGGAAATGTTGAGTGGTATGGCTCAAATGATGCATGTCTTGAAGATAGATTACCTTATCCCTTTCCCTTTTGAGAGTACTTGGATTTGTTTGCTAATATATTGAGTCTAAAATAGGGATGGTCAAGGAACTAACTGGTGGATATAAAATCAAGTATCATTCGAATGGGCTCGACAAAGATCCAATTGAGATTGACTTTACTCCTCCTTTCAGGTCTGTAAACTGTATTTTGGTCATGCATGTTACAGCTTAAACATGTGTTAAAAAACTTATCTGGTGGTTTTAACTGTTACTGCTGCAGAAGGATCGACATGGTTGAGGAATTAAATAAGATTGCAGGTCTCAACATAAATCCGGAGAATCTCTCCAGTGCAGAAGCTAACCAATATCTTAAGGATGCGTGCAAGAAATTTGATATCAAATGTTCCCCTCCTGAAACAACAACTCGTTTGTTGGACAAGGTAACTCATTTTCTTCTTCCTCCCATATATTCTTTAAAATCAAGTACATGAATCAGGATACCACCTCTGGTTTTATGTGATGGCAGGGACTGGCATTGTAATCAATGCGATGTTATGCTTTTCTCAAATTTCTAGTGTTGATGACAATTTTCAGTTATAATACTTTCTGATATGACATTTTTTTGTTCATAACAATTCCCATGAATCTTGCGTCATTGCATCTGTCCTGCTCTGGGGTTTGTTTGCATTTGTCAGTTATTGCTTGGCGAATTATCAAAAGGTCTTAAAGATGTCTATATTTTCTTTCCATTTGTCAGTTAAGAAAAAACCTAGTAATTTGCTTGGAATCTTAATGTGTGATGGGTATGGAAAATGACTTGATCATCAGTTTTTACTTTTTGGTTCATTTTCTATTTTTGCAGCTTGTGGGGCACTTTTTGGAAGAGACGTGTGTAAATCCCGCGTTCATCATTAACCATCCTGAGATAATGAGTCCTTTAGCAAAGTGGCATCGATCAAAACCTGGGCTGACTGAACGTTTTGAATTGTTTGTCAACAAGCATGAAGTATGCTTACCAACTTGAAGATTTGAATGATTTCTTTGTTGACTACCTTTTTCTTTGTCATTAAACTTGTTAACAATTTTCATTTGCTTTCCAGCTTGCCAATGCATACACAGAATTGAATGATCCTGTGGTACAACGCCAACGATTTGCTGATCAACTCAAGGTATCACTTAATTGTTTAGTTATGGTATCTTACTGAAAACTGTTTGGAAAGTTTTCTAATGATATATGGTTTTGAGTTCAGGACCGACAATCAGGTGATGATGAAGCAATGGCACTGGACGAAACATTTTGCAGAGCTCTTGAGTATGGGTTACCTCCAACTGGTGGTTGGGGTTTGGGCGTTGACCGGCTCTGTATGTGGTTAACTGATTCACAGAATATTAAGGTTTGTGTGTGTGTTGTCTCTCTCTCTCTCTCTCTCTCTCATCTTGTATTTGTTAAGTGTGAGCAGTTTCTCACTGTGTATTGTTTGTGGTTGGACAGGAAGTTCTACTCTTCCCGGCTATGAAACCACAGGATGAGCCTTCTGCTAAAGGTGCTAACTTCTTTTGAAATAACTTTCCTCGAATAAATTTATAAAACCTTCTTGTGTATTGTTTGTGCGTTTTGTGTAAGCACATTTGGATCTCTAACTGTTGTTCTTTTGACATTGTTCAGCCATTTAGGCGCCTGAGATTATTGGGACGCATCAATCGATTTTTGTAGCATTCATCGGACTCGAAGCGGTCGTCTTATCAATGGCCTGGTGTACCTTTTTGGTTTGATTTTTTACTGTCATATCTGAAGTGTTTTTGGGTAGATCTATAATTGTCCGACTATTCATTAGTAAATGCGACTAATGTTTATCCGAAGTTCTAAATTTGTATTTCTCCGTTGTGTTAGTTTCTTTTGAATGAGTATTTGTTACGACTTGAAAGAAAAAAGTTGCTCTCTTGTCTCGTCATGTACAATAGTTTCATCGATCACATTTGCCCCGTATGGTTTTTTTCTCTTACCATCATCCGTTGGTTTGGTTCCTTCATTTGCCATCATTATTTCATGGGAGTTTTAACGAAACATTTCCGGTACTGTTTATTTTTAATGAAAAAACACATTTTTACCTTTTTCTGGTACTATTCACTACACTTTTATTTGTTATTTTTCATTAAAACTAAAGTTTTTTTGAACTTTTCGGTAGTTTTCTTTTATTTCATAGGTAAAGTCTGTCAAGGATAACGAATTCGTAGTAAAATTTTGGGCGATACGGTCTAGTCTTTAACCCTACATCTCCCACATCCTCATTATCTCTCACATCTTAATAATGAGGGTAAACTGCTTATTTCCCCTCCAAAATTTTTAATTGGAAAATCAAGGACATAAACTATTTTTTTTGTTGATTTTTCCCTGCCATTATTTTTTCATAAATTTCATCTAAATTAACGTTAAATGACTCTTTTAAGGAAAAAATGGTCACTTCGCTAGACTTTCAAACATAAAAGGTATAAAATAACATAGATTTTGCATAGGTCGACATTTTAGAAATATAGAGTTTTCAATTATTTTAAAGAACAAAGCGATTGAATTGCCCTCATATGTTGTGCACATGCTTCTATTTAACATAAATTTAGATGGAATGAATAAAAAATTAACAGTAGGGGGAAATCGGTTAAAAAAAATTAGTTTGAGTCCTTAATTATCCAATTGAAAAGTTTGGAGGGGAAATCAAAAGCTAATTTACTTCAAGGAATCTATGAGAAGTTTACTCTAATAATGAAATATCATTTGACAAAAAATAAAAAATAACATAAAATATCGTAGTGTATGCACATAAAACATAAAATGAGAATCGACAAGCACATCAATTTTTTTTTTTGTTTTTACACAGTTTTATTTTTATTTTTTTTGAGAAAAAAATACACAATTTTATTTAATTATGTTGGATGTTTGTGTTTGATTTATTCAGTTTGGTAGGAGAACAATACAAGGAAAACTAATGAAAAGGGTTTGAAACATTTGAGTTTTAATTATAAAGATAAAATAAAGGGTAAAGTGAATAGTATCATGATTGACTTTTTAATGTAAAAATATGAATTTTCGTTAAAATGAACACTGAAAGTTTTTCGTTAAAGTTTCGTATCAAATCAAGGTATCATTAGGGTGATACACCGTGTAGCACAACCGACCTCTTATGCAAGTAGGATTTTTGTCCGAACCAATCTTATAATAATTTAACTTTGTTTTTACTTGATTAGCAAGAAAATAAGAATATTCCTAATCCTAGAAGGAAAAGATAAATTAGTCAGCACCAAGCAGCCGCCTTGGTTTCCTTTCCTTTGAGAGAGAGAGAGAGAGAGAGAGAGAGAGAGAGAGCGAGACATGGAAGGAGGGTCAGCGTTCAACAAGCTCGAATACCTTTCGCTTGTCTCCAACATTTGTTCTGAACTCGAAGCTAACCTCGGCATATCCGACAGAGTCTTGGCCGAGTTCATAGCCGAGACAGGTCGCAACTCCGACGTTGTCGACGACTTCCAGGCAACCTTAAAACAAAAGGGTGCGGACATGCCGGAATATCTCAGCCGTTCCTTGTTGAAGATCATCCACGCTATTCTTCCTCCAAAGGGAAACCCCTCTCACTCTCACTCTCACAAGAACCCTGCCGCCATTGAGGAAGGAGTTGAAAGGATTCAGAGGAGCAAGAGGCAGAGGGATGACGATGACGATGACGATGTTAGGACCGGGTACCGATGTAGAAGGAGGTATTCGGATTCGGAAGAGGATGAGCAGGAGAGATGGGAGATGAAGCAGCTGATTGCCTCCGGTGTTTCGGGTGCTGCAATGCGTGATGGACACGAATTGCAATTTCGAGAAGAGGGTTTTGGGGAAGAAGAGCATGAGACCGAGTTTGATGAGGAGCAATTAGCACTTTTGCAAGGGCAGAGTGGATACTCGATTGATATGTCACCGGTTAGGATTGTGCCGAATCCCAACGGGTCATTGAGTCGTGCAGCAGCTCTTCGATCAGCGCTGCAAAAGGAGAGTAGAGAAATAACAAGAGTGGAAGAGAACATGAGGCTCAATGCAGCTCCAAAGGATTTGAATCGCGCTTGGGAAGACCCTATGCCGGGAAGGGGTGAGAGGCATTTTGCACAAGAGCTTCAGGGTGCTACTGCTGCTCGCTTTTCGGGTTATGACAGGCCCGAGTGGAACAAGAGTGCTTACGAAGGAGCCCTGGATCTTGGGCAGAGTTCAAGCCTTTCTCTTTGCGAACAGCGCCAGAGCTTACCAGTTTACAGGTTGAAGAAAGAACTGATTCAGGCTGTGAAAGAACATCGGCTTCTTGTTGTCATTGGTGAGACTGGTTCGGGTAAAACTACGCAGATAACTCAATATCTTGCTGAAGCAGGTTACACCACAAGGGGAAAAATCGGTTGCACTCAACCGCGAAGAGTTGCAGCCACGTCTGTGGCCAAGAGAGTTGCTGAGGAATTTGGTTGTCGATTAGGGGAGGAAGTTGGGTACTCTATACGATTTGATGATTGCACTGGACCGGATACTGTGATCAAGTACATGACCGATGGGACGCTTTTAAGGGAAATTTTGAGTGATAAAAACCTGTCTCAGTACTCCGTGATCATCCTTGATGAAGCTCATGAAAGAACAGTCTCCACTGACGTTCTTTTCGGATTGCTGAAGCAACTTGTTGAAAGGCGACCTGATCTTCGCTTGATTGTTACTTCTGCCACATTGGATGCAGTGAAGTTTTCAGATTATTTCTTTCATTGTCAGATATTTACGATTCCTGGTAGAACTTATCCGGTAGAATTAATGTACTCGAAACAGCCAGAAAGTGATTACTTGGATGCAGCTATATTGACTGTTTTGCAACTTCACTTGACTAAACCCGAAGGTGACATACTTGTGTTCCTGACGGGTGAGGAGGAGATTGAATTTGCTTGTCAGTCTCTGTATGAAAGGATGAAAGTACTCGGTAGAGAAGCTCCGGAATTGATTATTCTACCAGCTTATGGTGCCCAACCGAGTGCAGAGCAATCGAAGATATTCAAGCCTGCTCCTTCAGGGAAGAGAAAAGTGGTTGTTGCTACCAATATTGCTGAAGCCTCTTTGACCATTGATGGGATATACTACGTAATTGATCCGGGATTTGCAAAGCAAAATGTATTTAACCCAAAGCTTGGGATTGATTTACTGGTTGTAACTCCAATTTCTCAAGCATCAGCCAAACAACGAGCTGGGCGCGCTGGGCGGACAGGAGCTGGGGAATGTTACCGCCTTTACACTGAGAGCGCTTTTCACAATGAGATGTCTCCTACCACGGTTCCAGAAATCCTAAGAACAAATCTTGTGCATACTACACTTATGATGAAAGCAATGGGGATACACGACCTCAAATCTTTTGATTTTATGGATCCACCGTCATCCCAGGCGCTCGAGTCTGCCATGAAACAGCTGCAAAGTCTAGGAGCTTTGGATGAGGAGGGGTTACTGACCAAATTGGGTAGAAGAATGGCAGTGTTGCCTCTGGATCCACCTTTATCGAAAATGCTGCTTGCCAGTGCGAACCTTGGATGCAGTGATGAGATTGTGACAATCATTGCCATGCTTCAGGCCGGAAATATCTTCTACAGGCCTAGAGCAAAACAAAGCCAAGCAGATCAAAAGAAGGCCAAGTTTTTCCAGCCTGAGGGAGACCATCTGACTTTGCTCACTGTTTACGAGGCTTGGAAAGCCAAGGATTTTTCTAAACCCTGGTGTTCTGAGAACTTTTTACAGTTTCGGTCGTTGAGCAGGGCAAGGGATATCAGGAAACAGCTTCTTACTGTCATGGGCAAGTATGAATTAGAGGTTGTAAGTGCAGGAAGAAATGTCGTAATGGTCAGAAAGGCAATAATTGCTGGATGCTTCTTCAGAGTAGCAAGAAAGGATCCAAAGGAGGGTTATAGAACCTTAGTCGATAATCAGCAAGTTTATATCCACCCGAGCAGCGTTCTTTTCCAGAGACAACCAGCTTGGGTCATCTACAATGAGCTTGTGATGACCACGAAGGAGTACATGCGTGAGGTCAGTGCCATAGAACCCATGTGGCTGATGGAGCAGGTTCCAAGATTCTTTAAGGCGGCAAATCCTACAAAGATGAGCAACGGAAAACGTCAAGAACGTACTGAACCACTGTATGACAGATATCATGAGCCCAACTCATGGCGCCTGAGCAGAAGGCATGCTTGATTATGTATAGATAAGAAATTTTACAGCTCTTGTGTGCAGCCACCTCGTGTAGATATATTTCACCACCTCATGCAGATATATATTCCTGCCAAAATTGTGCCTTCGGGTTTGTATGCTACAATATTTACTTTCCACGGATTATACACATGTATGATTTGCTTACTTGTCCTTCATTTATCAATCTAGTTTACTTATCTCTTTCTGTCTTGTTGTGGAACTAGTTGACTTATCGGATCTTGCTGAACTTTAAAGCTGAATCACAGTTTGTTGCGTTGATATGTAAGTACATTATGGTTGTTGCTGGTTTGCAGAAGTTGGCTGCATTGAGGTTGAGATGTGTTTTGATGTTTAATCGGATTTTCTGCTACAGCGTTATTTGCATTTATGTTGGATTTTGGTTTTAGTATTAATGATTTTTCAGACGGACATCTTGGAAGTGATACAATTCTACTGGATCAAAAAACTTGTATATGATTTGCTTTATACATCTGAGTACAAGCTTCTAGTTGTGCTAATCTGCTTCTGTTATTGCCAATTTGAATGAATGTTTGAACAAGTCTGTCTTAAGTGGAAAATTGATTCTTAGCTCTGATAATAATCTTGCCTCGACTTTCGGATTAATGTTCCTTGATTGCTCTGATTTATAAAGATTATCAATTTTTACAGTGATTAACATTTCTCTGTTTATGTTTGAACAGAACTAGTGCACGATCATCATTCGTTTGTGGAGTGCCAGCAACATTTCTCACTTCATGTTTTTACGGAACAAGTGCACGATCATCTTTCGTTCGTGGAGTGCCAGAAAGGACTGTCTGCAGTGACTCTCCGACTGCCAACTGCAGGTTTTATATATTTAACTCTGCACGTATCAAATTGTCAATGAGTGAGGCTGCTACTTCTACTTGTGCAGTCGCTCTCTCTTGACGAAGTTCAGTCTCCATCTCCATACGTTATGATGCGTTTACTCATGTAATAGGTTTTACAGACGCAGTTAAACAACATAATATTTTCATTTTGTTTTGTAGCCATCTTATGTTGCTAATCATGAGACTCTAGAAGGTAAAATGGGGGTTATAAAATACTCTGGGGATCTACCTGGGTCTTACTATTGACTAATATTTCATCCAGTTTTATATATCTCATCTTATTTATCTCAAGCCTGATTCACGAGGTGTAAGTCATAAATCAAGGATGAAGTGATAAATAATTGAATACATGTAATAATTTGCACTTGATTATCTCTCACATGACGTAACATGCGTGATGTGAGTTAAAGATAAGAAGTGATGATTAACCTGTTACAAGAAGAATTTAGCGCTTGATCTGGTGCACAAAATGTTCTAAAAGACGATAGGCGCTAGTCAAGCGGTGGATTGTGGCCTAGCGCCTAGGCGGTACCTATGTGGATACGGGCGTTTCTAAGGTGCGGACCTAAATCGGATGGAGGAGATGAGCCGAGTGTATCTGTGGAACCGGGTGTTTGAGTGTATCTCAATACCCGTAAAGTTCATGGGTAAAACCTGGGAAAATTTCTGGGAAAGCCTGAGGAAGTGGAAGGGAGCTGGAGGTGCATTAGGGGAAGAGAAAGGGAGTTGGCCTGAGGAAGTCGAATTCAGTCATTTTTGTAGTCAATTTTGGGGTATGAGCATAAATTGGTAGTTAATTCTAGTGTATCTGCAAATTGATGTAGAACTATCTTCTGTCTAATTACATGCTTGCAGGTGGTCTTGGCCTGTCTGGTGTTGTGTCAGTATTGTTCACAGGAATGGTAAGTGGACGAATATTGCATCCTGTATGTTTGCTGTGATGAGACTTTGGTCACAATCTTATTTTATTAGTCTTTCAATTTCTTTACATTTTTTGTTTCATTTTCCATCTTGTCCATTTTGTATAAATCGCTGTATTTTGGTATGGAAACTCTTAATCAGTTTGCCGAATGATTTTCTGCAGGGCAGCTAATGTTTTTTTTCTTCTTGTGCGTATTTGGTCTACTTGGTTCGACTTGGATCTGCACAGAGACTATATTCACTGCAACCACTGTCATAGTGGTTCTCAGACTTCTGACGGTACACAAACTGATCCCTGTCATCAATTTCGAATCTTCTTCAAATGTCTGGTGAATATTGAGGACATGTTTCCTCTAATAGATGTCTGTAGAGAAATACGTCGTCTTGCCCTTTGTTAAAATACTAGTCATGAATTGAATCTGATTTCTGCACTTTGTCAACATATTGCATCCCAAATGCCCTTGAACTGTTCCGAGGATACCAACAAGTATTTTGCTCAATTAAAAAGCTCGTAACGATATTATCTGGTCTTTTCTGTTTCACTATATCCATGCTCTTGCACCTCCACTGAAAGTTGTTTATCTGAAATGGCTCCATTTCAGAAAGAAGCAAAAGTTTTGTTCGGAACAAGGGGTTTCTCGGCTTTCCAAAATCCAACATAGTAGTTGGATGGCTGCATTCAACAAGAATGAACTTATACTGGTGACATTTTCCCCCAATGTTGTGAGATTTGGAATGTGTTGAGTTTTGGTTTCAATATTTGTTGTATATTTCATTATGAATGTTACAAGAGAGTGAAGACAACTCTTATAGAGAGCCAAAAGAAAGCTACAATAGATTGTAAGATAACTACACAAACACAATCCCTAAAATCTGCCCTAACAAGTGGAAAAGCAAAAACCAAATTACAAGTAAAGAAGCTTTTACAAGCAACTAAGAAAGGTTGATGTAAGGTGAATGACAAGCTATGGAAAGTGACTTTAGCCTATGACTTAGCTAAAGTGAGGATGACAACTCATACATACAACCCATCCATACAAACCGGTTTCAATACACCCCCTCAAGTTGGATCAAGGGGATTGATTGATCCAAGCTTGCACAACAAACGCTGAAACTGAGTAGAGTCTAGTGCTTTTGTAAATAAATCAGCAAGTTGATCGTGGTTGCGTGTGAACACGGCGTCTATCACCTTGGATTGAACTTGAGCACGAATATAATGGCAGTCAACTTTAATATGTTTGGTCCTTTCATGGAATACTGGATTGGAGGCAATGTGCATGGTAGCTTGGTTATTACAATACAAGGACATAGGTGCCATGCTTGTGAATCTGAGCTCGAAAAGAAGACCTTTCAACCATATGAGTTCACAGGCTGTTGTTGCCATAGCCCTATACTCAGCTTCGACACTAGATCGAGCAATAATAGTTTGTTTCTTGATTTTCCAAGTGACAAGGTTCCCTCCAACAAATGTGCAAAAACCTGTTGTGGATTTTCGATCAAGGACAATTCCAACCCAGTCAGCATCTGTGTAGGCCAAGATGTGATTTGATCCATTGTTCTTCATAATTATCCCCTTTCCTACTGAGCCCTTGAGATATCGAAGTATTCTCTTGATGATTTCCCAGTGAACTAGAGTAGGAGAGTGCATGAACTGACTGGCTATGCTAACTGAATATGAGATATCTGGCCTAGTAATGGTGAGATAAATAAGTTTCCCAACCATTCGTTGATAAACACTAGGGTCCGAGAGAGGTTCACCTTTTTCATGCCACTGAAGTTTGCTAGCTAGGGGTGTCCGAGCTGGTTTACATTCCATCATGTTAGCTTCATCTAGAAGATCGAGAACATACTTTCTTTGATTCAAGAACAATCCCTTTGAAGAGGTAGCCACCTCAATTCCAAGAAAGTATTTCAAGGGCCCCAAGTCTTTAATGGCAAATTTTTGGTGAAGTGACTGCTTAAGCGTCTTGATTTCACTTATATTGTCACCTGTAATAATTAGATCGTCAACATATATAAGCACAACCAATTTGCCAGCACTACTACTTCGAACAAACAAAGAAGAGTCAGCATGACTCCTTTTGAACCCTGCAGCTTCAAGGACTGAACTAAGCTTCGAATACCAAGCTTGAGGGGACTGTTTGAGACCATATATGGCTTTGTGAAGTCTGCAGACCTTGTTGGGTTCATTTTCTCTTGGATGACGAGGAGACAACTTCATGTACACTTCTTCTTCAAGATCCCCATGAAGAAATGCATTCTTCACATCCATTTGGAATAAGGGCCATGCATTATTGACTGCCACAGACAACAATACCCTCACTGTGTTCATTTTGGCAACATGAGCAAAGGTCTCCTTATAGTCAATGCCATAGGTTTGAGTAAAGCCTTGAGCTATTAACCGAGCCTTGTGTCTTTCAATGCTTCCATTGGAGTTGAATTTGGTCTTATATATCCACTTACTTCCCACGACCTTCTTGCCATTTGGAAGATCCACCACACTCCATGTCTGATTGTCATTCAGAGCTTGAAGCTCTTTAGTCATAGCATCTTGCCACTCAGGCATGCCTGTGGCTTCATGAAAATTCCTTGGTTCGAAAGTGTGGGACAATTTGTTAAGGAAAGAAGTATGAGAAGATGAGAATCTGTTATAAGAAATGGCTGCAGAGATAGGATGCCTTGCAGTGTAAGTAACATACTCTTGTAACCTCACTAGTGGATGTCTATCTCGTGTAGGATTTCTTCTTGGTGCACTTATATCTTGTTGATTTGGTTAAGCTTCTGATGGTTCAGAGGAGCTTGGCACTGCATCAATTGCACTCTCAATGAGTTGAGAATTATCAGTGCTGATATGAGCATGAGTGACTTCATGAATTTCTGCTGGAATAGGTAGTGGAAATAGGTCCATAAGATCTTCCATATTAGCATTAGTCTCCAACCCTTTGTGGAAATAAGGTGAATATTCATCAAATCACACATCTCTAGAGACTGCCAGCTTCCCCGTGTTAATGTTGTACACTTTATAACCCTTTTGAGAACTGGCGTATCCCATAAACACACATTTGACAGCTCGAGGTCGAGTTTGTCACGATGAAGAGCTTGAATGTGCACATAACAAGTACAACCAAAAGTGATAAGCTTATAGGCCTGCCCTTCATGACTTCAAAAGGAGATTTAGTATTCAACACCCGAGTTGGCAGTCTATTAATGATGTATGTGGTAGTGAGTAGAGCTTGAGACCAAAATTTCTTAGGAACATTCATTTGGATCATAAGTGATTGAGTCTTCTCCAATAAGTCTCGATTCTTTCTCTCTGCCATACCATTTTGTTGTGGTGTACCAACATAGCTAGTTTGATGCAAAATGCCATGATTGTTCAAGTAATTACTCATGTTATTGGAAGTGTACTCGGTACCATTATTTGATCTTAACATATATAACTTAGATGAAAATTGATTGGTGATTAGGTTGTGAAAGTCCTTAAAAGCATCAAACAAATCACTTTTAAGTTTTAAAAGATACAACCAGGTTACTCTAGAATAGTCATCAATAAATGTAAAACATAATATCTATACCCAATAAAGGATTCTACACGAGAAGGACCCCAAATATCAGAGTGAACAAGCTCAAAAAGTTTACTAGTTCTAGAATTAGAGGAAACAAAAGGAAGTCTAGTGGCTTTTGACATTTGACAAGTTTCACACTCTAGTGTGTTTTTACAAAAAAAGGGAAACAACTTGGTCATCACATGTTCAGAGGGATGGGCAAGGCGTTGATGCCAGAGTTGGTGTTCCTGAACTTGACTTAAGTTGTGTTGACCCCAAAAATTACCAAGCCTACGTGGCGCGCAGGCCGAGTAATCTATAAGCTAACTACGTCCGTCGGTTGAATGCGGGGCGTGCCAACTGGTCGGCCGAGGAGTAAATTTGTTGATTTGCGTTGGGTGCGCGGCTGACTTCTGCGTCTTGCGATTGCGGCCGAGGAAGGAACACGTCTTGGCCTCTTGGGTCCTCGAACTTGAAGATAAGGCTACTATTCTTACGAAGTTCACAAATCGTCGTCGTCGGATTCGGTCATAGGGGTGGTATTCGTCAGAATAAACTCACGCCGAATCGACACCAAAGTGTAAGGGCACAAATACTCGAAGTGGATATGAGTCTTAATAGTGAACGTGGTTCGGCTGTCTGACTGCGGAACTCTAAATCCCACTTGAGAGTATCCAATCATAAAATAACTCGGCGTGCAATGCGCCGAGCTCAGTAAGCTGTAACACCTCACTTCGCTGAGAAGGTCAATGAGATGACCTCAATCAATAAGGATTCGGAAACCCTTTTCGACCAAGACTTGGATAGGTAACCAACCGTCCTCGCCGCAATGCTGTTGATGCCAACGGAAGATGCTGCGAGATCGGCTGATTTTACGGCGACAGAGCTATCTATGCCGACTGAAGATATCATCGGTTGCTTTCATAGTGCTGTTGATGCCAACGGAAAATGTGTCAGCGAAAAGAGAAAATAAAAATCTCAAGTTGTTGAGAGAGTTTGCGCAGGGCAGTTGTGTGTTGAATTGGAGGCCATTTGAATGGTGCATGACCTCTTGTATTTATAGTAGCTGTATATCTTTTGCTTGGCATGGCCAGATAATTTTGCAGAGTTCCATTGCAACTCTAATTCGTGGAATTGAAATTGATCCACATCAGAAACCAAGGCACATCCCTCAAATTGATCCGTGATATTTTTCCTTGACTTTTCAAACCTAATAAAAGTTAGGCTTTATCATATCTCATAAAAAGCCTAGCCCACCTAGACTTCTTATCATCAAAACTCCATCAATAGCTTTTAAACCCATCTGACAACATCCATCACCATGCAAAAAGGCCTAGTCTACCTAGGTTCCTTATCCCATCATTATCCAAGACCATGACTTTAAAATCCTCAAATCCCCAAGCTTTTCAATCTGCACGTTCATTGCCAGACATCCAAATTAATTTGAACTGTACCTCTTACTTGAGGATATAATCTGCATCCTATCCATCCCGTTTAAGAATATGCCAAGATAATTCATATTAAAAGATAATTATGATAAAAACCATAATATTATCCTTGAACAAAAATATCTTCACTTTTCCATCCGACGGTTGAGAACTATGCTTACTTAACGGCCTTGATTACACGGGCCGATGGTGTAAATTTGGGTCCAAACATTGCCCCCCAGTTTCCTTGAACTTCGGCTCGTAAGCCGAAGGTTTAGGAAATTAATGTTCGTAGCCAATAAAAACCTGGCGTAGCTCTCAACTGCCGAGGTCGAGAAAAATTTGGAGAGTCGAGAAAAAATAGGGGCCGAGAGTCCGAGACAAACCACTTATGGCAGCTCGGCTTGTCATCCATCAAAGATGTTGCACACTTTTCTGAAATAATTACATTCGGCCAAG